AGCAGTAGATTATCACTATGTCTGGGAGAAGGTGGTCCGTGGAGAGCTTTTGGTAAATTTTATTTGTTCCCAAGATCAGATTGCTGACCTATTTACAAAGGGTCTGTCTTCATCACGTTTCAAGTTCTTAGTGTCCAAGCTTCATGTGGTTGCTCGACCAGTCAGCTTGCGGGGGGATGTTAGACCAAGTCAGACTTTTCAAGCATCAAACTCTAGTTCAAACTCTTCAGTTGGGTATTCTAAAGTTCAACCGTTATCCAAGGACAAGTCTGTTAGGTCTAAGTTTGATAGCTCTGTATCATTTGAAATTCAAACTGTGCGTGTAAATGGGGTTTTTCAAAACCCTTCTGTAATCTGTTGACTGATATAAATACAAGCAATCCATCATTGTGTGGATATGCAAATTCAGCTGAAAACCTAAGGTCTTCTAAGTTTAACAGTGTTCAGGTTGCTAGTGTTTGTTTTGGTTGTTTTGTTGGGCTCAAAAGTCTGCTTCTGTAGAAAAAGGTATGTAGGCTAAAAATATATTGATACGTGAATGTGGAAAAAATGGAAGATAATGTTTTTTTTCTCATTATCTTTCTCTACAAGATTACAAGGATATATATACATGATACAAGTGTGTAGATAGGACAAGGTAGCCGTCCTAGTGTGTAGGTAGGACAAGGTAGGACGGTTGTAGGACGACTTGACGGTTGTAGGACGGCTAGTGTGTAGGTAGGACAAGGTAGGACGGCTGTAGGACGGCTAGTGTGTAGGTAGGACAAGGTAGGACGGCTGTAGGATGGTAGGACGGCTGTAGGACGGCTAGTATATTCCTTATTTGTCTAACACTCCCCCTCAAGTTGGAGAGTGGATGTCAAGAACTCCCAACTTGCGTAACATACCCGAAAACTTTTCTTTCCCAAGAGGTTTGGTAAACAAGTCTGCCAACTGTTGTGCCGTACCCACATGCTTGGTCTCTATTGTGCCATCTACAATCTTATCTCGTATAAAGTGACAATCCATCTCAATGTGACGAGTTCGTTCATGGAAAACAGGATTGGCAGCTATATGTAACGCTGCTTGATTATCACAAAATAAAATGGAAGGACCATCCAAAGGAATGTTCAAATCCTTCAACAAAAAACGAAGCCAAACTATCTCGCAACAAGCACCTGCCATGGCCCTATATTCCGCCTTTGCTGAAGAGAGCGAAACGGTTTTCTGTCGTTTCGTCCGCCAAGAAATCAAAGAACCGCCCAAGAATACACAATACCCAGTAGTCAAACGACGAGTGATAGGGCAACCTGCCCAATCAGAATCACAAAACGCAGTTAACTTGGTCTGGTTGTCAGAACGAAATAATAAACCTTGACCTGGAGTAGCCTTCAAATAACGAACAATACGAAGCGCAGCATTCATATGAGATATCCTTGGCTCGTGCATAAAACGGCTTAGAACATGCACAGAATAGGTGATATCCGGCCGAGTGATAGTGAGATATATTAACCGACCTACTAATCGTCGATACTTTTCAGGATCCTTGAGAAGTTCTCCTTTATCAGATAATTTTGTGTCATCCATAGGAAAAGCAATGGGTCGTGCTCCCAAAAAACCATAGTCCTTGAGAATCTCTAATGCATACTTGCGTTGAGAAATATAAATCCCTTGTTTGGAACGAGAAACCTCAATACCCAAAAAATATTTTAAATCACCAAGGTCTTTTATCCGAAAATGATCATGGAGAAAAGACTTCAGAGAATTAATGGCACTAGCATCATTGCCTGTAATCACAATATCATCCACATAAATGAGCAAAGCTGTGAAAGAAATACCAGACTTTTTAGTGAACAATGAATAGTCAGCTTTGGATTGTTGAAAACCGGCAGAAATGATGGCACTAGTGAATTTGGCAAACCATTGGCGAGAAGCCTGCTTAAGACCATAAAGTGACTTGTGAAGGCGATACACAAGATTCTCCCCCTGTCGCCGAAGACCAGGAGGAGGAGACATATAGATTTCTTCATGTAAGTCACCATGTAAGAAAGCATTATTAACATCAAGCTGATGAAGAGACCAAGACTGACTAGCAGCAAGAGCAAGAAGACAACGCATCGTAATCATCTTAGCAGTAGGAGAAAAAGTGTCATGATAATCAATACCTTCAGCCTGAGTGAAGCCTTTAGCAACCAAACGAGCTTTGTAGCGGTCAATAGAGCCGTCGGAATTGTGCTTGAGTTTGTACACCCACTTACAACCAATGAGAATTTTGCCAGGGGGCAAGGAAGTTAAAGTCCAAGTAACATTAGCATGTAAAGCTTGAAGCTCCTCAGTCATAGCACGTTGCCAATTGGGGTCAGTGGCAGCCTCGGCAAAGGAGGAAGGCTCCACAGTCCGACTGACAGAGTTAATGTAAGAAAAATGCCTGGGAGAGTAACGGTGATAAGAGAGAAAATTACAAAGTGGATATCGCGTACCTTGTGTAGAACCGGGTTGCGAAGTCGAAGATGGGTGGGATGGCAGAATCACCTGCGAGCAAACGTAGTCTTTTAAATAGGATGGAGGTTTATGGGCACGGGAAGAGGTGCGGGGAAGGGAGGAGTGGTAGGTAGTGGGGGGGTAGGGATGTCCGTGGGTAAAGGGGCATGGGGAGGAACGGGTAATGAGGCAGCAAGGGAATCTGTGGGAGGCGTGGAAGGGGAGGAAGGTGGAGGATGGTGAGGCGTCGGGGCAGGAAGGGGTGGGTTATATGTAAAGTCCAGAGGGGGTGGGATGGGTAGGGTAGGCGAAGAGGATGGGATAGGAGGGTGAGAAACGGCATAAGGGAAAGTAGTTTCGTGAAAGATGACGTCTCGACTAGTGAAAATGCAGTGATTGTCGAGATCGTAAAGGGTATAGGCCTTTTGTCCATGAGGATAACCGAGAAAAATGCAACGATGAGCCCGAGGGGAAAATTTGGTGGTGGGAGTGACAGAGGTGGCATATGCCAGACAACCAAAGACGCGGAAGTGGTCATAAGATGGGGTTTTCGAAAAGAGAACCTCAAATGGGGATTTATGATGGAGAAGACGGGTAGGGAGACGATTGATGAGATAAGTAGCGGTAAGAACACATTCCCCCCAAAACTTGATAGGAAGATGGGATTGAAAACGAAGGGCGCGAGCGGTTTCAAAAAGATGACGATGTTTTCTTTCAACAACGCGGGGTATAAACACAAGAAGTTTGTAAAAGCACCCCATGATCAGAGAAAAAACTACGAAGAGATAAAAATTCACCACCATTGTCAGTACGAATGCATTGGATGGTAGTGCGGAATTGGGTAGTGACATAAGCAAAAAAATCCTTAATTAATTGTTGAGTGTTGGATTTATGTTTCATGAGGAAGATCCACGTAAAGCGAGAAAAATCATCCACAATGGTTAAGAAATAATGAGCACCAGAAAGAGAAGATTGACGATTCGGGCCCCAAATATCACAATGAATTAAAGCAAAAGGGAAAGTTGATGAAATTGAACTCAAAAGAAAAGGTTGACGAGTTTGTTTTGCCAACGGACAAACATCACAAATATGACTAGAATCAAAAGTACAATTAAGAGAGCTAGATGCTAAAGCTTGCAAACGAGTGGAGGAGGGGTGACCAAGACGCCTATGCCAGAGGGAGGAGGGGATGGTAATGAAGTTGCAGAGAGGTTGACGGGTGGGGAGAGAAGAGGTAAGGGCCACAAGGTAATACAGATCGCCACGTCGCTTACCCACACCAATCATCGCCTTCGAAACCAAGTCCTGCAAAACACACCAAGAAGGAAAGAAGGTTATGGAACACGATAATCCATCTGTAAGTTTACCAACCGATAAAAGGTCCACTCGGAAATTAGGGACACATAAAACATCCTTCAAAGTAACTGATGAATTTAAAGGAAGAGTGCCGGTAAAAGTAATGGGAGCGGAAGCACCACTAGGCAAAGAAATAGGCGGCAAATGTGAAGGAGAACGATTAACCAAACATGAGGCGGAAGAAGTAATATGATCCGTAGCACCACTGTCAAGAATCCATTGACCATGACGAGAGGTGACAGGTAACAAACCTTGGGCAAAATCAGTAGTAAGCACGGCATTGGCCTGAGGAGGGGTGGTGGTGTCACGTAGAGCAGCTAGAACACGGGAGTGCTGCTCGGCAGAGAGGTCAGGCATGGCAAGCTGCAAGTCATGCAAAGTGGGCTGGGCCCCGTGCATTTGGTGGGTCGCTGGAGTAGAAGAGGAGGCGGGGGCCTGGGTGCCTTGCACGTGATGGGCCTGGGTGAAATTATGGGGCCGGGAAGCAGAAAACCGTGGCTGCCGGGGAGGACTTGAAGGTGCATGGCTGCGGGAAGAACTGGAAGCAGTGGCACGGCGCGGTGGTCGCCACGGTTGGCCATGGAGGGGATGGCCAACGGGATAGCCATGAAGTTTATGGCAGGTGTCTCGGGTATGATAATCAAAATTGCAGTAGGTGCAGTGGAGGGGAGGACGAGCAGAGGAGGGACGGGACGGGCCACGAACAGCCATGGGAACGGCAGAGAAAGCTGCCGAGAAAAAAAAATTAGGGCTAGGGTTATAAACCTGCTCTGTATACCATGTAGAAAAAGGTATGTAGGCTAAAAATATATTGATACGTGAATGTGGAAAAAATGGAAGAGAATGCTTTTTTTCTCATTATCTTTCTCTACAAGATTACAAGGATATATATACATGATACAAGTGTGTAGATAGGACAAGGTAGCCGTCCTAGTGTGTAGGTAGGACAAGGTAGGACGGCTGTAGGACGACTTGACGGTTGTAGGACTGCTAATGTGTAGGTAGGACAAGGTAGGACGGCTGTAGGACGGCTTGACGGCTGTAGAACGGCTAGTGTGTAGGTAGGACAAGGTAGGACGGCTGTAGGACGGCTTGACGGCTGTAGGACGGCTAGTATATTCCTTATTTGTCTAACAGCTTCGGCTTTTGTTTTGTTTTGCCAAACTCGACAGCGGACAGCCCGTAAAAGCAGGAAGCAAGTGGAGTACCAAAAATGTCCCCAGACTGAAAGCCCAACGCTCCTCGCGGCCGACGTCGTGGGTAGGTGTGACGCTGGATAAATAGGAGATTATAATGTCTTGCACTTGCAGAGAGAGATGCCATTTCTTCAGTTCCAGTGAGGACTGAAGTGCTTTTTCAATGTGGCAATTATTTGCCGCAGCTGTTGCGGCCTCCACCGGACTCCTCGCCGGAAAACACATCTTCTTCAAGCCCACCGCCGTTCCCGATCACAATTCGGAGCCTCCCCATCCAGACCCCAATAACCCCTCCTCCGCCTCGCCATTTCAGTCTCAGCCGCCTCCGTGGGAGATCAACGACTTCGAGGAGCAGCGAGAAGGGACCATCTTTAGGTTTTCGAGCGAGGCGGCGTCGGGTCAGGGCAGGAGTGGGACCCAGTTTTTGATGAGGATGAAAACCGGTTCAACCGGGTCGAAGAAGAAGAAAGGGGTTGATGCTGAGGCTGAGAGATCTAATGGTGTGGAACAGAGGAGGACTGCTAGGAGAGGGGTTGGTGTTTGCTTGAAGAGGAGGAAGACTGGGAAGAATGTAGCTGCTGCCAAATGTGGATCGTCTTCTTCCAAAGGTTAGTTTCGCGCTTTTCCCTTTCTTACTCGTTTCTGTTTGGTTGTTAAGAAAATCACGAGGCAAAAAAAATGGGGGTTCTACTAATTGACGTTGATCATAGAAAATTATGAACTTTTATGAATTATAATGCTGCTGATTGCTGAATCCTGTAAAATTGTGAGTATTTCGCCAACTTTTCGGAATTTAAATCGAATTAGGCATGCAAGAAGTAAATTATTGATGGAATTCGGTCCCAATTCCCAATTGTTTATGATATTTCAACATCAGTGTGCACAATGTAGGCCCTGGGTTGCTTGCTGGGTTTTTTTTAATTTGGGATTTTATGAAAAGCTTTCCTTTCGAAAAGTTTTTCTTGTTATGCTGATTGTATGTTATTGCAATTCTGGTTGCCATGTTCAGATAAGCTAATTGTACATGTTTCAGTAGGTTACATTCTGCAGGCTGGCAGCGCGCAACCTTGTACAAATTCTTACTGATGGTGCTTAGTGGTTCCAAATGGATAAAAAGGAGATGACTCAATCCAAATGATTAAGTGATCATAATTGTCAAGTGATCCTTGAAATTTGCTCCTGAAATCCTAATTAAGTAGAAAATCATCAAAGCATTCGATCTCATTTGTTGCAATTTTGACTCAACACATCCTTTAAGAACAAAATTTCTATCCAAGTTTTGATCAGCATTATTTTAGTAGGCTTCTAAGCTTTTCCTTGGGCTTGAACCTTCGAGGATTTTGTTAGTTTGGTTTTTTCAGTGTCACAGTCTACAAACATAATATTCGAGATTCTATGAGTTTAACATTTCAATTTACTTCTTGTTTTATACTCTTCAGATTCGACGTTTTTTAGTTGGGGGCTTAATGTTGGGATCATGTACGTGATGTCTGCTGGAAAAGTCCAATTTTACTGTATCTGAGGATGCGGAATGTGCTAGTAGTGTCCTTACGGAGGAGCAGGACCCACATTCCGAAGTAATGGACATGGATTAATTAGAAGCAGAACTTGAGTCTGAATTGCAAAGACTTACATGGTGCGCTACAAATACTCCTCGCCATGAGGGATTGAGTAATCTGAGTCAGGTCAGTTTTTAAAGGTCATTATATTTTCTTTGAATAGGTTGATTTAACTTACAGAGATGTGCCTTTATGCTGGTGCTATAATCTACAGCTGATAATCAAGTGTAGAATATACAATTTAGTAGTGTTTTGAAAATGTTTGGAAGCCAGTTTTGCGTTCTTAGTTAAATATAATGGATGCTGAACCAACAACTTTGTCCTAGTTATTTACCAAGAACAAAAGAACTACATACCTGTTGGATCGCACTATCTCCAAAACTAATCGCCGCTAAGAGTTCAAGTTACAAACTTCATAAATGACTTGATCATTTCGAGATATACGGATTGTAATTTTATTTTTTTTTGGGTCGACCAATGAACAGGCAAATGCCACTGTAAATGCGTAAATGGGGAACTTCACGTTCAAACTCTCCATATTATGATTAGATTATTTTTAGATATGAGGATTGTAATTTTGTTCATTTTGTTGGTCGACAAATGAAATGGCAAATGCTATTGTAATGCCTAAATGATGAAATTCACGTTATGCTGGCCTAACTGATTTTTCCCTTCTAATACCATTCAGGACATTGTCTCTGAAGTTACAGCTCAAGGGTTTCATGACCTAGAGGGACAGTGTTTCATTACTCAGGAGTTCCATGGAGTATTGCCAGCTCAACTAGATCAGAAACTATGCCATGTGCTCATCGAACAGCAGGAAAGCCAAATTGTGGAGCTGGAATCTGAACTGCATTCAGCCCAATCAAAACTCCAACACAAAGAAACTGAACTGGAAACATTGAAGGACTGTGTTAGACGCTTAACCGAGTTATCGGTTGGAAATGTCTCAGGCAAGACTTCATAATCACCTTTTAAGACCTCTCTCATTTTCGTTAGTTAAATTTTCTTGCTCTATTTGGTTCCACAGCACTCTAACGCAACATTGTTTCCCAGATGACGAAAACGAAACTAGCATTGGACGAGCAGACCACCAATTGGAATCACAACATGGAGGGATGTGAGTCAACAAAACCAACGGTTGGGATGAAAAGACCTATTGATTCCGAATCTTGAAGTTACCATGCTTGATGAAATTGTTTCGTAATAGGACTTAACATCCCGTTGTAGGTAAGTATCTCTCGTCGCATAGTGTCACATCCCGGTCCGGGGTCCACCACATCCTGGGCCCGCTTCACCATCGTAGCATAATATTGTCCGTTTTGGGCCCCGACTACGTCCTCACGATTTTGTTTCTGGGAACTCACACGAGAACTTCTCAGTGGGTCACCCATCATGGGATTGCTCTCGCGAGCTACTCGCTTAACTTCAGAGTTCCTATGGAACATGAAGTCAGTGAGCTCTCAAAAGGTCTCGTGCTAGGTAGGGATGAGAATATACATATAAGAATCACTCCTCTGGACGATGTGAGATCTTACCCATTAGAGCATGAATTTAGTAATTCACTAATTTTTATCGTCACGAGTGAGCCCTTTCAATCTAAATCATAGCAGCCCTACATTTCTTGTGCTGTATAACATGGCAATTGTTATTAGTACAGCTTGTGGCACCCTACATTTCCTGTGTTAATAGTCTGAAAACTATGCAGTTGCTTTTCTTGCATTCTGAAGGCACAGGTAATATCAAATTCTCATATGCTTATATATTTACCAAGTGATTTCTAAAATTGCCAGTTGACTTTCTTGCCATGCCTGTTTCTGAAACCCAGGTTGACTTTTTGTTTTCTTGTTGGGGCAAGGCCATGTAATTTACTGATCTAGTAGCCCCCAGTCACATGTGAAATTACTATATTGCACCTGGGAACTGTGTAAGTTGGTACGAACTGGGTAGGGCAGAGATGGGAAAGTAAAAAGTGTAGTGTGAGAGTATTGAAAACTCTAGTGGCGGTGGTGGTTGGAGAGGGAATTGATAGGAAAGTAGTGGAGCCATTCAGTGGCGTGTTGGGAGAATTTTCCTTTGCCTTTGCCTTTCCCTTTCATATCAAGGATGATTTATTTTGTGTGCGTTTCAGAGTCTCTCGCTAAAAGAGTAGTGTGGGGTGGTCGCGTTCGACACAATAATTACAATAAGTTTATGAAGGAGAACAACTTACATCAAATAGGTTCATTGTTATGTAACGTCTTTGTCTAATAATATATTGTCATGTGAAAAAAAATTTGCACATAACAATACATCATTGGACAAGAGACACCACATGGCAGGGAACTCGTTTCATGTAAGTCATTCTTTCTATGAATAAGAGAAATCTTATGCAATTGGGATACTAAGATGATGGTATTTCAAGTTTATCGTGTATTGCTAGTCTGCCAAGTGTTTTAACTAACTCACATAACATCGAGGGATTCGTTTGATATAGATACAATTTTGGCCTAATTGGATTTCTTTCTTTGTTTCAAAAGTGTTTGAGGGAAGGAATTTAGAGGTACTTTTCAATTAAATGGTTTCGAATGAGCAATTTTCTTGTGTTATTAATCTAAATTACGTAAGTACAAACTATAAAGGATGTGGAAAGGTTAAATTGCACAAATCCACCACATGGTTTTGTCGTAGATCAATATTACTTGCTCATGTGTTGACCCTTTGTGGTTAAGCTCGTTGTCAATCTCAATCAACTTCGAGCTTCACATCTAAATTCTCTCTAATTCAAACAAATATGTGCATTATTTACACAGATAAAAGGATTCTAATGACACTTTCTTCGCTAATAACACGGAAATGGATAAATGATCACCTAAAATTAAGTACGGATACTTCGAAACACCATATAATTTGAACTGAGAGTTGGATTCAACTTGATATTGGTCGAGCTTTAACTGTAATGATTTCTGCCTTGAAAAGTAGGCATATTATCAATCACCATTCAATCAGGAGCCAGTCCAAAACACCAAGCACCACCCTACCAAACAAAGCCTACAACCTCCTCGATTCATACAAAAATCTTTACAGTCCATTCACCCATCCGTGCAAAGATTAAAATACCAAATTCACACTCCCCAAAACAAAAGAAGCAAACAAAAGGAATTGAAAGCTAACACAGAGCTCTCCACAGTCACCCATTTTCCAAGAGAGAAAGACAGAAAGCTGCTTTCGTTCTTCTGAAAAGCCTGAGGAAACCAGACCCAAATCTATCGTTGATTCGGATTGTTATTCGGGTTGGACGGAAATGAAGCTCTCTGCAAAACCCATGTCGAGTCCGGGTCGGACGGACAAGTTCCCGCCGCCGTTGGTGAGGTTTCTGAGGACCAATGTCGGGAGCAGAAGCAGAGGCCGGTTGCGTTCGAGCCCAATGTTCGTGAGGAAGAAGAACACACCCGCCGTTGAAACACAAGAGCCGTCGTCTCCTAAAGTCACGTGCATGGGGCAAGTCCGAGTCCGGAGGTCCTCCAAGCAAGGCGGTTCGCGGCCCCGGCGAGCTAGAGGAACTACCGGAGCTCCTTCCCGACGGCGATCCAAATGGATGCGAACCGCCCTGTTTTCCCGCCATTTTCCCGGGAAAATCAAGGCCAAGTCTTTTCGACCCGTGTGGCGCAAATGGGTACCTTTTTTTCAACTGGGTTTTTGCAGAAAGGGAGAAGTCAAAAAGGACCCACCAAAGATTGAATCGAAATTTGAAGACCCAATTGAAGGTTGTTCAGATGGGGAAGATTTTAGCGAAGAACAAGGAGACCAAGAATTCGAAAGAAAAGCGAAAGCTTTCGTCGTTTCTCCTTCTTTGTCCACGCCGCCGAAGAACGCCTTGCTGTTAACCCGATGCAGATCTGCGCCTCACAGGTCGTCGTCTCTGGCGAGCAGATTTTTGGGTTCGCCGGTGAGAGCCGAGAAAACAGAGGAAGAACAGAAACCCACGTCGGAAAGGCAGTCGATTTCGGATGAGGAAGCGAGATTGGAGTCGGAGAGCGAAGAAAAGTTTGAATTTTTCAGGGAATTGGAGGGCGAAATTCGAGAAAGAATGGCGAAATCGGCGAGCATCGAAGATAAAGACGGAGACTTCGGCGGGTCGGGTCGGCCGCTGATACTGACAAGGTGTAAATCGGAGCCGGCGAGAACGGCGGCGGAGAAGCTCGACCCGGAGTTGGGTTTCTGGAAAACGAGAAGGTTGGGAATTGTTGATTCATGCTCACCGAGTGTTCTGTGATTAATTATTAGTTGTTAATTAGTCTCATTAGTGTTTAATTCGTTTTTTAATTTTTTGGTGGCTGAATTAATGAAAATTTATTGATGATAGTTGTCTGATACCATATTTACAGTGATTAAATATTGGAAGTGTGTATATTCACATCTATGGTCGCACGGAATCTATCCCTCTCCTCTGTAATTAGTCCTTAGTAAATATAAAAACCGCCGTATAGTGGTAGCTGAAAGTTGAAACAGTGAAATTGCTTTTGCTCTGTGTTTGTTATACCTAGCTTTCCGTTGAAAAAGCGACTTATATATATGAAACGGACTTATTGAAAGAGCATTTCAAATTGGACTTACCAAGAGCAACATAGCTTACTTACCTCTCTATCCAACTTAACTTTTTAAGAAAAATTAATTAAAATAGTTTAAAAACTTTGAGTTTTAACGTTAAGGACAAAATAAAGGGTAAAGTGAATTGTACCAAGATTGATTTTTTAGTGTAAAAATATGATTTTTCGTTAAAATGAACAGTATCAGAAATTTTTCGATAAAATTCTTTATTGTTCATTTAATGTCAATCCGCTTAATTTCTGAAAAATTTTCCGTTACTTTAATTGTCTGTTTAGCGTTCTTCCAGTTTTACTTGGCATATATCTTCGTTATTAAGACTCAAGAGTCATGAGCAGCCCCTCATGGTTGTCGTCATGGACAGCTTTACTTAATACCGTCTTTGGTGCCATTGAATTGAAAATTGAGTTCAGTTTCTGTTCTCGAATTTCTGAAAAGCGCTCTCATGGAACTGTTTTCAGTGTTTTCTTTTCTTTTTGTTTTCTTTTGTGGTAATGTAGGGGGCTTGAGTACTGTAATGCGTACCCATTGGATACTCTGACCTACTTTTTTATTTGGTGACGAGTTAAGCTCATATACTATTATTAGTTTCAGAAGGTGACTACTTCTGCATTTAATACATGTTTGCTTGGAAGTTGTTTTGCTACACTAAAATACTATACTTGGCGGATATTTTATACTCTCGAAATTTTAACCGTTAAATTTTTAGTATAGTGATCAAAATCTACTTGTCTTATACTTTGAACCGCTATAAAATCTTTTATGCATGGGTTGAATTTGCTTGTTCAAAACAAAAACACATTGAGGAGATAATAAGGGCTCCAATATATAGCTCGACTCGTAAATGTATGTGTGAAACATGAATTCAAACTTTGTATGTGAGAATCCAATGCAATGCGCTTGGTGCGCACGAAAGTACATCTTCTCGACCCAATGCATTGCGTTGACTCTTGTAAAGAAAAACATGAATTTCAAACTTTATGAATAAGAATCTAACTTAATGAGCTTTACTCATACAATACATTTTTTTTCACCTCATAACTGCTCGACTCACGTGATGAGTGTTATTAAAAGAACATGCATATATCTACTGCATGCCCTATGCTATGCCAAGAAAGGGTATGTGCGCACACAAAATCAAATTTTTCAAGCTTCAATTGTAAAATTTATACAACCAAGTGGTCGGAATAATATATATTTATCACTAATGATTAATCTAAGCTTCACTATTGTATAAATGGAGTGGGATGCCACGTCACAATAAACCTGTTTTATGTAAGTTGATTTCCATTACGATTTGTATGGACATAATATTGAGTCTACCACTAGCTATAAACCTTATGAACATAACGCGTATGAACATAATGCATCAATCTAGGGTCTAATTGTTTTTAGCCGCAAACTTAATAGATTGAGTTTGAATGACCCGCTAAACCCATTCGCTGCCAACTCTAGACTGAGATGATAGATTAGTCGGAGGATCACCTCCAGGCGTTGAAAAAATGACATAAGCGACCAGAGAATTTTCACCTTTCTTGTTTCTTCACATGCATTGTATTGTATTAAGTTTCAACTGAAAGGGATCCTCTTCGGATCCCTTTCTCCTAATCCACCAAATCAGGGAATTCGTGCCATTGAAAAATGATCCAACGGCTGAAGTTATTATAACTTTTAAAGTGGACCTCTATTTGTAACTGTTGAATCAAATTTCAATGACACGGATTCCCTGATTTAGTAGATTAGGAGGAAGGGACCCATAGAGGATCGCTTTCTAGTTTCAACTACTCACTTATGACATTCATTTCCAAAGTGGACATTCTTTTTCTGACTGGTCAACAGTTGCCAATTTATAAGGTCCTAGGTAGCTCAACTTTGTACTTCGAAAATTTTTCCCGCTCGTCGACTAGAACTGGAGTCTGAACGGATCATGACAGCCTTCTCAGCCCTCATCTTCTTCTTCTTCTCTCCCATTTCCGCTCTCGACTTTCCTTTCAACTTCATCTCCAACATCACCAATGGCACCGACCTCATCCTCATCAACGATGCCCAATTGGACGCCGTCGCCATCTTCCTCACAAACTACACCAATATGTACACCTTCAGCAGCGTCTTCCACCCAACCAAAATCCCCATGAACCCACTTCTAACTCCGGATCCGTAGCTTCATTCTCCACCTCCTTCGTCTTCTCCATTCTCCCGTAGAACGCCTCCACTCGGAGTCACCCCCCCCGCCCCGCGGACGCTCGTGGCAACCAATTCTTCGGCCTCTTCGCCAATGCTGCCATTCCCTTCATTGGCCCTCTACTCGCTGTCGAGTTCGACACGGATAAAAACATAAAATTTAACGACCCAAATGCGAACCACATCGGAATCCAACTCAACGACATCAAATCTGTAGTCATGGCCCCGACCGGGTACTATAGCTCAACCGGAGGATTCGTCCCAATCCAAATGCGTTCGGACCAAAATGTCCGGGCATAGATTGAATTCGACAAAACTAATTTCGAATCCAACATCACCGTCGCCCTTGCAAACATGTTACGGCCTTCTCTGCCGACGCTTACTTACAAGGATCCGAAGATTGTGAGTTACGTATCGGCCGAGATGTTTGTTGGTTTTTCAGCTTCCAAAGCAGAGTCGATTGAAACCTAGAGGGTTTTAGCTTGGAGTTTTACTGACGTCAGCGTTGCAAGAGAGATTGCCTCGATGAATCTTCCTGTTTTTCAGCTGGGTTCGTCGTATTCTTCCTTGTCAAATGTGGTGCTTGCTGGGATTGCAATCGGCTGTATTGGTTTTGTGTTGATTTTAGCATCAAGATTTTACTTGTATCAGCGGAAGAACACGACGGAAGTTGAAGAAATCGATGAGATTGAAGATTGGGAGCTGGAGTATTGGCTGCATAGATTCTCGAACGAGGAACTGAGCTAGGCCACTGGCGAGTTTTCAAACAATCAGCTTTTGGGTTCCCGCAGATTTGGGAAGGTTTACAAGGGGACTTTATCAAATGCCGCCGCAATTGCCGTCAAGTGCGTCAACCACAACTCGACGCAAGGGGTGAGGGAGTTCATGGCGAAGATCGCAAGCATGGGGCAGCTGTTGCACAAGAACTTGGTCCAAATGCGGGGTTGGTGCAGGAATGGAAACGAGTTAATGTTGGTGTACAATTATATGCCCAATGGGAGCCTCGATGGGTGGATTTTCGACAAGCCAAAGACTGTTATGGGGTGGGAGAAACGGCAACGCGTGGTGGCGGATGTGGCGAAAGGGCTGAATTATCTCCACCACAGGTGAACCAGATGGTTGTTCACAGAGACATCAAGTCGAGCAATATTTTGCTAGACGTGGAGATAAGAGGGAGGCTTGGGGATTTTGTGTGATACCCTATCCTAAATTTGTTGTATTTTATTGTATCGAACATATGAAATTACCAATTTGCCCTTGAGGCATGAACGTTGACTTTCATAGACGGCCTCAACGTAATGCATATTACTAATTTTCTTAGTTTATTCTTATCGTACTCATCGCCATGAACGCGTAGGCACAGACAGATTTGAATTTGAAGTTATAACGAAAATTTTACGTTACGAAACGTCGAACGTTTTTCGAATATTTCGTGTTTCATTTTTAGTGACCTAATTTTGTGAGCCAATGGGACCCACTTTGGATTTTTTTCCCCTTTTCCTTCCCCCTACTCGTGAGTCCCATTTCCCTCTATTATTTCTAAAAATATCTCCCTCTCTCTCTCAGCTCTCTCTTATTTCTCTTCTCTTTCTCTAACCTTCCATCTCCGGGAAGGCAACACACAAACAACAACGACAACACTCCCACCACCAACCAAACCAAGAGCACCACGAGCTTCGTTTCATCCTCACGAGCCCAGAACACCCAACCTCACCTTGAACTTCCTTTTTGGTCGTCGGGATAAAACTCAAGTCGGGCAGTGACCTTTCAAGCCATTTTCTGGCCAAACCATGAAAAATTAGCCAATGAAAAGGTACCAATCTCTTCGTCTCGTTTAGAAGTATGATTTTCGTTTTTGAATCACTTGATTTCGTTGAGTATTGAAGAAGTTATAAACTTTTAAAGTTTACCCAGTTTCCGGCGACCTCTGAGGCTTTCGAGCCATTTTCCAACCAAACCACAGCTAGTTAGCCATCAAGGAGGGTACCAATCTGTTTGTCTCATCCCGAGGTATGATTTTTGTTTTTGAATCACTCAATTTTGTTGAGTATTGACAAAGTTATGAACGTTTAAAGTTTACCTAGAAATCCGGCGAGTTCCCCAGTTTTCCCGCGGACCAGTCATCTTTCAGGCCATTTTCCAGCCATCTCCGGCAACCATTATGGCTTCCAAATAGATATAATCTTGTTCTACACTTTTCTAGCTTTGTTTTGATATATTATGGGTCGCATTTGATTAAGAAATGAGTGAGTTATGAAGTTTTGAAAATTGTCCAGATTTCCAACCAAAAACCCAGTTTTCCAGTGACCGGCATGACCCGACCCATTGACAGTTGACCCACTTTCGTTGACCTTTTGACCTGTCAACGTTGACTTTTGGTTGACTTTTTTGGGTTTCGGCCAGGACCCCTCCTAGACTAATTTCGACATCCTAATTCCAAATCCATGCTCTGTTTTCCTAAATTCAATCGTTTTAGTAGAGTTTTATTAATTGGTCCTTTTATGTGCTTAGGTGTGTTTGTTAGTGGAGACCCAGTCCTCTCTAATTTGAGTGGCTCTTCGGCGACGGAGTATCTATAAGTGGACCCTTTCCAAAAATGCATTATTTTACTACTAGAAATGCATACATGAAAAACATGATTTTATGA